AGGGACAGGGTGGGATTGTTGGGGTGTCTGTGCAGGGCCAGGAGCTGGACTGGATGGTCCTTGTGGGTCCCTCCAGCTCAGGATATTCTGTGATTCCAGGATTCTTCTTGCAGGGAGCAGATGGTGCCCCTGGAGGGAGGGGACAGCCCGGACTGGAGGGCCCTGGGGTAAGGTGGCTGGATGTGGGGTGCTCTCATCCTCCCCCTCACAGCCCCCCAAAGCCCTGCAGTGCCCTGTTTCCCCCAGCTTCCCCCCATGTTTGTGGCACAAGGGCTGGTGGAGGTGACAGCCACATCCCTGTGTCACTGCCAACATTCCTCTGACTCTGCTGCTCTGCAGAGACCTCGAGTTTTAATTTTTAATTTTTTTTTCTCTCCCTATGGATTTATCAGCAGAGATGGCCCAGCCCTGTCCAACCCTTCCTTTGTGCCTTCCTTTTCCCAAGGGTTGGAGTGCTGAGCTGCCCTTTCCAAAGGATGAGGATTTTGGGGCAGCCTGACCTTGCCCTGCCTGGCCCACAATGTCCCTGTTCCTCATGTCCTGAGAGCCCAACTCACAGGGCTGGAAACTGGGGATGGGGGATGTGGGTGGTGTGTTTTAGAGGCCAACAAGAACCTCATCCTCCTACTGGGGGCAGCCTGGGAGGGTTTGTGCATCCTCTGGAACCTGCTGGGGAGCAAACCCCACTGTGGCAGCAGCAGCTAAGCTGGTGCCTGCTGTTCATCAGCATCATCCCACCCCTGTGCTGTGGGAGGGTCTCCTCCATGAGTGAAAGTGATACCTCCCTTGGTGTTTGGGTTTTTTTTTTTCACCTGCATTTTGTGTCTTGTTCTGAAGGGGTTTATTGGCCTGCCGGGTCCCAGAGGTGCCCAAGGAGAGCAGGTGAGTGATGCTATCCATGGGATCCCTGCTTGGGATGCAGGAGAGCTGGCTTAGAGCAGCCCAAAGCACCAGCTTGGTGTTCAGATGGGTGGCAGGTGCAGTTGTTTGGGAAGGCAGAGCTGCCCTTGCTGTGATAAGAGGAGCTTTCAGTGTGTCCCAAGGTGTCACCTGCCCTGGGGAGGCACAAGGGAAGAGGGAATTGCTTTAGCCTGAGTTAAGGAGCACAGCAAGGAGGACAAGGCACTCTGCTGGTGTCAGGGGTGCCACCACCAGCTGCTGCAGGTGTCCTGCCTGCCAGGGCACTGGCACTGGCACGGGGTGCTGGGGGCACTAAGGGTGGGGATGGAACCCAGAAGCCCTGGAGCCTCCCCACCACAAGGAGCAGGCACCTGCCCCCAGCTCTGAAAGGCCCATCAGGAGGAAAATCCTGGTTGAAACAGGGTCAGAACTCTATTTGCTGCCAGAATCAATCAGATCACAGCTTGCTTTGGTTGCAAGGAGGGGCACGACAGGGTTTTCTCAGTGCACCCCCCACTGCTGCTGCTCTCGCAGGGCTGCCGAGGTCCAGGAGGAGCCAAGGGAGACCTGGGGGCCAAAGGAGATAAGGTACCACGTTCCCAAGCTTCTGGTGCCTCCAGCTGCTTCCTCTCTGGTTATTCAGATGTGCTGTATCCCAGCTGGTGGGATGTTGAGGACCCAGGGGATGTAACAGGGACCATGAGAGCTGGGCAACTCATTCTCTGCTTGATCCCACCACGCTGCTGCCTCTGATCCATCCTGCCCTGCTCTGTCTCACTTTGACTGCTTAAAAATGCTGCATTTCCCCATTGCTGGTACCCTGGGGGTGCTCGTGGAGGGAGGGTCATGGGGTGTTCACCCAGAGCAGCCCCATGCCCAAGGCTGGGGGTGTGGAGAGCCAGGGGATGGGCTCTCCAAGGGAATTCCTGCTGGGAGCCCTGGGCCACTGGCTGTCCCTGCTGCTGTGACACTGTGTCTTGTTCTTCCAAGGGTCCACGTGGAGCACAAGGAGCAAAAGGCCCCCCGGGGATCCGGGGCCAGGGTGGCTTGCAGGGCTTTCCCGGCCCCCGAGGGGCAGAGGGGCCCCGGGGCCCAGACGTGAGTGCCAGGACCTGTCTGGGGTGTTGTGGGGTGGGGTGTGTGTGTGTGTGTGCCCACTGTGGACAGGGGGCAGCCCTGAGGCACAGGGATGGCACAGGAGGTGCCCTTAGGAGGGACCCCTCTAATAACATCCCCCTGGCACTGCTCGGGCACTGCTGGCCCCTGGGCTGCTTGCCCAGAGCCCCTGGGGCTGCAGGTGCCCCCAGCACCCAAACAGGGCTGCTCCAGGCCCCTATGGCTGGGCCCCCATCCCAAAATTCACTGGTGGGTTCAGCAGTGTGAGGGCAGCTTTGGGAGGGGGGATTCCCAGCCTTCTGGAGCTGCCTGTGCCTGAGCAGCTGGTCAGGGATCCCTCGGGGTCCCTGCTCCAGGTCAGCACCTTCCCAGGTGCTTTGAGAGCAGAAGGCTCACAGGTTGATGCTCCTCTTTGACTCCTGCCAGGCTCTGCCTCCTGGAGCCTGTGCTGGCAGCTCCAAAAGGCCTTTGGAATGTTTTTTTCCTTCATTCTGTGCTCTGAGGGAGCTGTCAGGGTGGATGAACCCATCTCCAGATCAGTATTCCTCCCTTGGAGCTGAGGCCAGGCTGGCAGGTTATCTCCAGTGGTTTCCAGCTTCGCAGGAAGAGGAGAAGGGGGGTTATATCTTTCCACCCACCTTTCCAGTGTCTGCAGCATCCCTCTGTGGGTGATACCCTTCCCCTTCCGAGGGGGATTCTGGAATGATGCCTGCCTGGATCTGCTCTCACAGTTGCTCTTCAGGATGAGAAGTGAATCCTCCCACCTCTCCAAGAGCTGGAGGCTCAGCAGGATTCATCTCCTGCCTTGTCCACCCACCCAGGCAGCGCTGCCAGCGCATGGCATCGGTCTGGAGGAGCTGGGTTTGGATGGAGCAGGAACTTGGCAATCGGTCCTTTGAATCACCTTACATTGGATCAGCAGGAAACAAAAATATCCCACTGTGTTGTCCAACTATTGAGCTTTCTCTTCCTTCCCATTTTTATAACCTGGAGAAGGAGGGAAGTCCCCCATCTCCACTCCGGAGCTTGCCTGGTGCCCCAGCTCCCATTGCCACTCATTGATGTCACCTCTGATCCCACTCCCCGAGTTTTCCCCCTGCCCCAGCAGCAGGATGGTGGCTGTGGGGAGCCAGCAGGACCAGAGGCTGTGTTTTTCCTGGCTGACTCCTCTCCCCTCTCTCCTGGCAGGGGGAGGAAGGTCAGATAGGCCCAGCAGGGCTGAACAGCAGCGAGGGACCCAAGGTGAGCACCAGTGTTTGCTCCTGGTTTCCCATGGGCTGTCCCTATCCTTGCATGGACAACAGGGATGTGGCTGCCCTGCAAGGGATCCAGCACCTGGAACACCATCCCAGTGCCCCCCTGGGGAGGGTCCCCAGCCTCCTGGCCCCCACCACTGACCTGCCACCAGGGCAGAGGCTGGAGGAGCCCCCCTCGGGGTGGAGGGGCTGGGGGAGACCTGCAGAGTTGCCTAAAATGTCTGTGCTTCCATTTGTGTGGATTTTAGGGAGGCCAAGGACCTGATGGCCCCAAGGGAAGCACAGGAGCCCGGGGAACCCGGGTAACTATTGGGGTGTTGGTACTTGTGGCTGGATCTTGGAGCATCTTTGGCTGTGGGAGATTGAAACGACCCTGGAGACCACCTGCTTGACTTGGGATGTGCTGGGGCTGGGCCACCGTCAGGGACCAGATTTTCCTCTGAAAATGCAGCTTTACTTCTGGCAGAGGGATGTTTTTGTCATGCCTGATGTTTTCCAGGGCCGTGTGGGTCAGCGTGGGCTGGTTGGAGTCCCAGGACTGCCTGTGAGTAGGAGATATCCCACATTCCTGTGCTGGCAGGGGGAGCAGCTTCCTGGGATGGGGCCAGATCAGAGGGTCAGGCCCTGCTTGGGAATTTGCACAGGATAAGCTGGGGATGAGCAGCTCAGGATTTTGCATGGAGTGTTTTGACGAACCACCTGCCCCACTGCACAACTTCCCTCAGCGCTGGGCACAGAAAATTCCAGGAAATAACAACTTCTTGAGAAAGTTCTGTTAGGCAGAGTCGTGTTTAGTGAAGGAGCCAGGAACAAATAGCTGGGGCAGGAGGGGGGGTGGGTGGGGAAAACACAGCCGAGGTGTTCCCGGTGGGAACGGGTTTCCTCCCACGCTGATGGTGTTTCCAAAGGTGGGATGGAGCGGGGAGGAGCTTCAGGAGCTGTGTGGGATGAGCTCAATACACACACCAGACAGTGACACTGCTGGCTTTCCACCTCTGAACTCCGAGGGGAGGCTGTGGGGCTGGATGAGCCCGTGGTGGGGCTCACCCTGGCACCAGGCTCTGCTCTGCTGAGACGAAACTCTCCTTGCAGGGCTCGAGGGGTGTCCCGGGAGCAGAAGGAGCAGAAGGAAAGCCTGGTACACAGGTTCCCATCCTACACTCTGTACTTGGCTCTGGGAGAGGGTTGGGAGGCTGGGTTGGATCCAGAGGAGGAGCTGAGGCCAAAAAAGGGGGAACTTCCCAAGCCCCCAATCCCCACGGCCATGTGGGTGATGGCCCTGGCACCGTGGTGGCCCCTGCCGTGACGTGGGACTGGGAGAGGCTGTTCCTGCCTCCACTCCTCATCCTCACCTGCCTTGTCCTGCAGGGTCACCCAGGGATCATGGGCAGCCCTGGCAGGAGGGGATCACCGGTGAGTAGAGCTGGTTTCTGTCCTTCCTCCCCTCTGCTCAGCTCTGTCCCCTTGGGAATGTCCCTCAAAAACCCGTCCCTGGGATGGGGTGCAGGTGCTGGGTGGAGTGACACCAGCCAGAGGGTGCTCCTTTGAGAATCCTGCTGAAGGGGGAAGGATTGGGAACAGGGCACTGTGATTTCCTGTCCCTGGCACTGCTGTCCCGAGCAGATCCAGCAGCAAGACCCGGGCTGGTGGCAAATTTTCCCTTCTGTGGGATTTCACCTATTTATCTTTGCTCTGAAATTCACAAATAATTTTAAAAAAAAATAAAAATAAAAATCTGGTGCTGCCCTCAAAGCAGGAGATGAAAACTGGCCTGCCCTGGGTCAGAGAGGCCCCCTGAGCACCACACAGCATGTCTGGGTGCATGTTATGTGTGTCCACACACAGCTGTGGGGCTTCCAGGGGAAACCTAGGAGTTGGATTTTAGGGGACAGCCCCAGTGCTGCCTTCACCAGGCCAAGCCCTTCTGTGCTTTGGGTTGGGATCAGACCCAGGGCAGGGTCTCTCCATCCTCCTGCTCCTGCCTTCCTTCCATTGCTCACCTGCTGCCCTTTCCTCCAGGGGTTTGCTGGTTTGCCAGGAGGCCGTGGGCACCTTGGACCTCCTGGATCAATAGTAAGGAAAAAAAAAAAAATGTTCCTCTTGCATGAACTCTGTGTTTTCTGCTGGTAGGGGATATGGGGCTTTCCTTGGGAGTCAGCAACAGATCAGGGCATCTGTAGGACTCGATCTTACCTTCCTGTTGAAGGACATTAAAAAGCCTCAGTTGCAGGAAAGCTGAGGCCAGGGAAAAGGAGAATCATTTTCCCCCCAGAAATTAGTCTCCTCCAGGGATTTTGCAGCTTCCCAAAGCTTGGCAGGGTGTCCATGGGGGATGGCAGCTCCCTTGTGGAAACCCTCCACAAGGGTGGTGAATAGCAGCTGGTTCTGGGTCCTGGGAGGAGATCCCAATGGGAGTGGATGGTGCAGGTTCAGAAGAGGGTGCTTGGCACTGAACAGGCTCCCCAGGGCAGTGGGCACAGCCCCAAGGCTGCCAGAGCTGCAGGAGGGTTTGGACAACGCTCTGAGGGACAGGGTGGGATTGTTGGGGTGTCTGTGCAGGGCCAGGAGCTGGGCTGGATGGTCCTTGTGTGTTCCTTCCAGCTCAGGGTATTTTGTCACCTTCCCTGGTGACAACCCTGCCAGCCATGGGGGGCTGCTTTGCAGGAGCCACCAGGGTGGGCCACAGTGGCTGAGTTTGTCCCCAGTGTCCCTGTTTGCACCAGCTGACACCTGACCATGAGCACGGGGGCACCACTGGGGGAGTTTGTCTCCTCTCAGCGTTTTGACTGACATCTCCTCCCTAAATAATTCCAAAGGGCTCTCCAGGAAAGCCTGGACCTGATGGAGACCCGGGTTCCCTGGGTCCAAAGGTGAGATCTGGGGCTTTGGGGTTGACCAGGAGTGTGTTGGGGGCTGGTTGGAGCAGCGATGGGGGTGAACAGCCCTGAGTGGCTCTTGGCTGACCTGGGGATGATCCCATGGGCTCACACCAAGAGCTCCCCAAGGAAGGGGAGGATGCCTGACTGCATCCTGGGAGTGGGGGGTGTTCACTAATTCCCTCATTTTCCCTGGCAGGGCCTGCCTGGGAAACCTGGCTTGGAGGGGCCACAAGGACCTGTGGGCACCTACGTAAGGGATAGACCTGCCTGGGGAGGGGGTGGCTGCACTGGGGGGAGGCTGGAGCAGCTTCCAGCTGCACATTCACCATCCAGCCACCTTTTCCCAAACCCATGGAGGTGCCTGGTGGCCCAGGATGCCTCCTAACACCCTGCTCTCCCCAGGGCTATCCAGGACCTGCTGGTGACCGTGGAAGGCCAGGGCGCAGGGGAGACAAGGTAGGGGTGGCACACCCAGCACAGCACTGGGGGGGATGCAGTAGGCTGGGAATCCAGACTTTGGAAGCATTTTTGGGGCTGTTGAACCCAATGGCTGGGTCTGGGTGGTGCCCCCAGTCTCCATCTGTGGCTGGAGAACAGCTGGAGGTGGCTCCCACATTGGGTGGCTTCTCCAGCCCTTCTTCTGCCCAGGCTCCTGTGGGTTGTTCTAAGACCTTTTCTTTTTCTTTTTTTTTCTTTCCTTTTTTTTTTTTTTTTTTTTTTTTTTTTTTTTTTTTTT